CTTCTAACAATTATTCTAAACAAAAAAAAATTCATAAACAAATAACATGCTTTAATTAATTTTCTCATGCAATAACTACTATTCATGTACCGAAAAATCGGTAAAATATTCTTTAAGCATGGAAAACTATTTTGACCCTTCTAAATATTCTTTTAAATTTCTAGTAATTATTTCTCGTTCTCAAAAATATTTATTTATTTATTTTCACACGGTTTTAATATTAAACTTTTATTACATTTCTATTTTAGCGAGTATCGAGCATTACACTACATCTATTTGAAATGACATGATTGGCCACATCGATTTGAAGGGATGTGATTGGCCACATCAATTTGGACGGATACGAATGGTCACTCCAATTTGGAATTTGGAAAGACATGACTAGCTACATCAATGTGGAAGGATACGACTAACCGTGTCAATTTGGAATTTAAAAACATGTGAAAAAACTACGTCGATTTAGAAGGATGCAACTAGTTGCATCAATTTGGAAAGATCCAATTTGCTTTGTTGATTTGGAATTTGAAAGAACATGAGCTGCCAGATTGATTTGGAAGGATGTGACTAGCCATATCTATTTGGAATTTGGAAAGATATGACTAGCCACATCTATTTAAAATTTGAAAAGATGTGATTGGCCATGGTAATTTGAAATTTGAAGAGACGTGACTAGCCATGTCAATTTGACATTTGAGAAGACTTGACCGGCCACATCAATTTAAAAATTAAAAAGACGTGATTGGCCATATCAATTTGAAATTTGAAAAGACATTACTAGCCACGCCAATTTGAAATTTGAATAGATGATATCGGCCAAGTTGATTTGAAATTTGGAAAGATTTGATAGCCACGTCGATCTAAAAAGATGCAATCGGCCGCGTCGATTTAAAATTTAAAAAGATATGATTGGCTATATTAATTTAAAATTTAAAAAGACATGACTATCCATATTGATTTGAAATTTGAAGAAATGTAGTCGACCACGTCAATTTGAAATTCAAAAAGGCATGATCTGGCTATGTCAATTTGAAATTTGAAGAGACATAACTAGCCATGTTGATTTGAAATTTAAAAAGACGTGATGGGCTATGTCAATTTAAAATTTAGAAAGAGTGACTAGCCATATCAATGCGAAAGGACATGACTCGCCACATTAATTTTGATAAGATGTTACTGGCTACGTTGATTTTGATAAGACATGACTAGCCATGTCAATTTTGATAGGATCCAACGGATCATGTTTTTTAATAAGATATGACGACCACTCTAACTTAGGTCGACGTTGACTTTTTATAGAAGCATAGGTCATCACTTGTTAGACATAGGTTTTTCTTTCTTTTCTCTTCATTTATGTGTCGTCTAGCTTAAATAGGTTCAAAGTTTTAGGCAACTACTTTTATTGAGCTTGTCTGTTTGCATTTCGATTATTCCTCATGTTTTTGTATTCGTTAGGGATTGCTGATTGGATTACTATCTATATCATTTGACTAGTGCATGTTCTTCTAATTGAATGGGAGATCACCTGTTCTTTTGTGCCCCCTTGGTAATGTCGCCAAATGTCCGGACTTTTGCTAGCACATATCAAGAATCTAGCCTTAAAAATGGTTGAGGTGGCTTTTGTCTATCGTCAATAATTTGTCATGAGAAAGCTTATTACGGATTTAATGGAGGCTGACCTCTTGAAGACCAAATTCGAGTAAGATCCTTATCATGTTATTATATGTCAATTCGATGCATCGTCACATTTCATGAATGACATCAATTACGGGATCGAGCATGAGACTAAAGAAAAGTATTTTTTTTTAGGGGATTGATCATACTTGTCAACACAAAGGTGTTTTGAGAGGTGAAAGATCATGAATCACATCATGTTAGTTGAGTTAAGAATAGAAAAAGTAAAGTCAAATGATCACGTTAATGAATATTTGGTCATAACTCGGATTATCTCCTTATTGCTCCGGAGAGAAGAGAAGTCGAAGTACTTGATTTTTTAGTATCGACACGGATTTGCTTGCCAGTCTAAACATAGCATGTTTCTAAAGCATTGATTGTAATCATCCATTTGTCATCGACCTTTTATTGTTGTTGCTCATATCATTCATTTTCTTTCGATGTTTGCGCTTGATTATGTGAACTTATCTTTGAATGATTTTTTGTTCTAAATTTTTAGAAAATCATTTTTATTTATTGTGACTTTCATGGATTAGGTTGTCTACTTGAAAATTTTCCATCAAGTCAAGTTGGTGCAAAAATTATTTGTTCCAAAAATTAGGTACGAACAAAATTTTTCTTTTTTTATTAGAAATTGACCAAAAAAAAAAAAACTCTTCAAAATCTTCTCAATTCCTCTATTAGTAAACACGAGTCGGTTGCCGTGCTACGCCGCGAGATATGGTAAAACAAATTTATTTTAAAATTTTTAATATTTTTTTATAAATTTTATGATTGAAAAAACATAAAATCATTCTTCCCTATGAATTGATTTTAAAATTAACAATTTTAATAATTTTAACTAAAATATTAATCAAGAATTAAAAAAATTAAAAATATAATTTTCACAATATTCTATTTCAAAAAATAAAGTTATAATTAATGGGCAAACTTTTATAAAAAATTAACAAATGAAAAAAAAATTATTTAATGTTGATGAGAAAATTAATTTTTGAAATTATTTGTGCAACGCTAATGGCAAATAGAACAAAATAATTTCAAAATGTTATAATTTTTTATTTAATTATTACCTTTTTTTTTGTGTTTTTCATAAAACTTCTATTTAAAAAAAAATTATTGTTCTTTATTCGGGGATTCTTAAATAAAAACTTATAATAATTCAAACACGAAATATTAATTAAGAATTCAAAAGCAAATAGTTTAAAATTATATTTTTTATAAGAATGTATGTAAAAATTAAAGTTACAATTAATGTATAGACTTACATAAAAGTTAACCAATGAAAAAAAAATTTATTCTTATTTAATGTTGGTGAGAAGTTTTTTTTCCGGTATATGCATTTGATATCTATATATTTACTTACAAAATAATCAATAAAATTAGCATAAAAATAGTATTTGAATAATTGGTTGGTTCCTTTAAAAAATTACTTTAATTATTTGATTTCAAATAAATTGGTTATATAATGTTATAAAAATATTAATTGCAAATAATTTGTATTACGTTAAAAGATGTATAGTTAATTTTTAATAAAATTAACAATTCAATACTTTTTTTATACGCCTAGACTATACCTAGTAAACTAAGACAAATTATTTAAAATATACTTTTAACCTTTTAGAATAAAATAATTATATACTTATATATATGCAACTATCATTTAAAAATTCTAAGAATTCATGATATATGTTATAAAAATTTATTTTTTTAAAAAAGAAAAAAATCATATTTTAAAATTTTATTCTAAAATTCAATTACGAGAGAAAAATAAATTATATAATATCGGTAAATGAAGTTTCATACAAAAACTATTAATTGGATAAGAGTTTTCATTAAAAAAAATGATAAATTCAAATAATTAAATTTAAATAATAAGAGTAATATAAGTTGAAGTATATGTTAATTTTAAAATATAAAAATATATATTATATAATCGTCGGTTTGTGAAAAAAAAAGTTATGATTGATTTTTTAAAATTTTAACACCCAATTAAATAAAAATAAATAAATTGATTGGAAAAAAAAAAGCAAAGGAAAAAATGATTTTTCAAAAATTTAACACCCAATTAAATAAAAAAGAACATAAACTAATGGAAAAAAGTAAAGAAAAAAATAAAAGAGAAAAAGACATGTGTAGTGCATTAGTTATGAGATTAAAATTTTTATTTTAAAATTTTAAGGATGAAAATAAAACAACATGAAAATTACAAAAAAAATAAATAAATAAATATACTAAAAATAATTATTTACTAAAATGCACCACTATAAATATTAAATGGATTGATATATCTTTCTTTTTTTTTAATAATGCAAAAGTATCTTATTTTAGCACTAAAGTTTTTAGTGTAATATATGTACTTTTTTTAATATTAAATGGACTGATATTTTAAACTTTAGAAATAAATAACGAAGGAAATAAATTATCAATTCTTTTAAAATTTTAGCACCCAATTAATTATTGGTTACTTTAAAATTTTAACTGCAGTTATTTAAAAAAAAAAAAAAAAAAAAAAGACGCTAGCCACCGTTACTGTTCAAATGAATAGTGTGAAATTTCGATCCAATAGCTGAAACCAAAAAAAGTATAAAACAATTGTTTTGCACAGCTATTTAACAAAAGTAAAGAAAAGCGGAAAGAAAGGAAAGTTGCATTGTTTGTGTCTACAGTATAAAACAATGTTACTTTTTCTCATCTGTTTTAGTTTTATAGTAAATGATTTTTTTATAAATTGGTGCAAAAAATAATAGGAATTGAGATAATTTTAATGAGGTTTTTTAATTTCTATTTTTTGGTCAAATTTTCAATAAAACTCTAACACAAGGAACACATTTAAAAAATCATATTTTTTGAAAAATAAAATATTTTTCTTCTTAATTGAGAAAGTATCTTTTTTTTTTTTTTTACTCAAATTCAAAGATATTTTACAATTTAGCTTAGGATTTAAGAAAAGAAAACAAAGGGATAAACATCTATAACTAGTCAACAACAACAACGTTAACAATAACAATACATGTGGTTTTTATTTTTTATTTTTTCTCTTTCTACGGAAGATGAAAAAGAAGGTGAACTAACAATGACTAAACCGAAAACTCAAGTTGTTACACCAAACTTACTGAGAAGTAGATATATGTCCTGCTACTACATCTTCATTCTTCTATATAAACCGAAGACTAGACCTGGTTTATCACATACAATAATTTTCTTCGCTCATTTCTGGTCTTTTGTGTGAGGCCTCAACGCACGCTTGGTAACAGCAAGATGGCAAGTTTGAACTGTTTTATCTTAGCACTCTTCATTGCTTTGTCACTTTTAGGCGGCGAGGCAGCTCGTCATCTTCTGCAGTTTCCCCCTTTACCTTCTGTGCCGAATTTGCCTAAACCAACATTGCCACCAATGCCTTCTATACCAACACTGCCACAGCCTACATTGCCAACTTTGCCAACCACACAGCCTCCACTTCCTAGCCTGCCAACAATGCCTGGTCTCCCCAAAGTCACCTTGCCTCCACTTCCAAGCATGCCCTCAATCCCCACTATCCCTATCCCAACTACAATTCCCTCTATTCCATTCCTCTCCCCACCACCTGGAAACTAGACCATGTTATCTTTCATTTTGAGTTTGGTTATCAAGCTCTGTCAGGAGTTCATATCTGTTGGTCTCTGTGGAGTACAGTGTGATCAGGAATTGTGTTGTTTGCTTCTGGCGCTGTTCATGCATTGAGCATTCCTGTTTCCTAGTTTTCCCGTATTTATTTGTCTCCTTGTATCATACATATACGATATACCTATATCATTGTCCATTTTTCAATAAAATGAGTGTAGTTTATATGGTGCTGATTCCACATTTGGTTGCTACTCTCTTCTCTTTCTAGAGTCCTAATAAGCTTGCAATATTACCGATGAATCATCTTTTTTTAGCTACTAAAAAATTATTGATCAATTTGATAGTGTTAACTATATTATTCCAGTTGATAAAAAAGAAAAAAAAATAGTATATTTAATGACTTTATAATGTGGAGGTGATAAGCAACATATATTACCAAAAATTACATATTCAAGAAAACAGTCAATAAAAATGGTATTCTAAGGAAAAAAAAAAAAAAAAAGTGGAGGATGAATTCAAAAACAAAGTCTAAGAATATGGTGGCATTACCAAATGCATCATAAAAAGTGATTAGATATAAGGGTTTATTAGTAATTTAAAATAAAAAATTAGTGAGAATAACAAAACATATAATGAATTTAGCAATACACAAAGTGAAATCAAATGAACAGTTTTTTTTTTTTTTTTATCCTCTTGGAACATAATAATCTACACATAGGCCTTAGAGTTAATTATATTTTTTGATAAAAATTTGTCAATTTTCATTTTACCTTGATTAATAATTAGATAATTTTTTTTTTTTTTGAATTCCATAGATTGATGGAAATTATTACCGAATCTCATAAAAGAGATAAAAAAAAAAAAAAACTGAGGATATTATTTGATTAGTTGATATTTAAAATATACAATTCAAGTGAACAAGTTGAAAAGAGAAAAAAAAATAGACAACTTAAATCACAATAATTTCTTGTAAAGTTCTTAATTTTATTTTTTCCTTATTTAGGTCTTCAATTTTTTTTATCCATGATTAAATTTTTTCATCTTATTTATTAATCTTAAAAAATATGAGAGACATACAAAACTATAAAACAATAACATTTGTCTAACAAATCTTAAATAAAAAATTATGAGACAAAAGAAAAAAAAATTTAATTATAAACTAAAAATAAAGTTGGGAATCCAAATAAAAAAATTAATTTTTTTCCTCTTAACCAATATTTTAAAATACTTTATAACTAATTACTCATTTCACACCTATGGAATTAATCCTGATTAAATATATTATATTTATCCATTTATTAAGGCCAATTAATTATAAAAATATTATGAACTATTTGTTAAAAAGGAAAAGTTTTTATTTTTTAATTTTTTTTTCTGATTTAGGTCTTCAATTTTTTTTTATCTGCAATCAAATTTTTTCATCTTATTGATCTTAAATAACATGAGAGATACGTAGAATTATAAAAATAACGATACTCATCTAGAAATCTTACATAAAGGATTACAAGATGAAAAAATTTAACTACAAACTAAAATCAAAGTTGGGAACCCAAATAAAAAAAAAAATTAAAAACTTTTATTTTCTGGTAACCAATATTTTAAGATACTTTATAACTAATTACTAATTTCTAAAACTCAATCGGCTAAATAAATATTTTCCTTTCCACGTGAATCTAAGCCATAGGGTTGAAAAAATTGAATTGAAACTCAATAGTAACTAAATAACTTTCTGGATCGACTAATGGAATGGAAGATGACTGCAACTATTTTTCTCTTCCATTTCTTTAAAAGAAATGCAGGAAAAATCTCCATGACCTAGGAGGATGTCCATGAATGAACGATTGACAAGGGAGATCAAATTACCAAAACATACAACATAATCTCAGCTTAAGATCCTAAAATTTTGTTTTTTTTTTCCTCGATTTTAAAATCCTTAGTACAAATAAACTCGGAAAGAAAATATAAATCTCCACCCCCAAAGTTCAAATAATCTGAAGTAAAGGCACACAAAAAGATCAAAAGAAGAGCAAACCTGCAAGAGAGTATTAATTGTGGCACTCCAAAACATAGGAACAAATGGAAAATTAATTATGACTTACCACATATATATATATATATATATATCTAATTAATTAAAACACATGTATTAATCACTATAAATGTAATTATTGATTATATATGTATCTAGATACATTTTCTATTAATGCTACAAAAGGAAGAGGTTGGTTTTTTTTTTTAATAAAAAATAACAAAACTATAAAAAAAAAAAAAAAAGATATTAATTTTCAAATCAAGAGAGAAAAATCGTTCTCCATCTATTTTCAGTATTAATTTAAAGGTCTAAATACAAATAAAGATATGTAAAAAACATTAACTTTAAGATTTATGAGTAAGAAGTATTTCATGTAATTACAATTTTAATCTTTCAATAGAAGCTAATAAATCTAAATTGAAACTCTTATTATTCTCCTCCTAAACAAAATTCCCATCCTCCTCGTACTCTTCCTTGTAACATTCCCCACTCCCACACCAACCAGACTCCTCCTTACCTCCACAAACTCACCACCATCATCACCAACCACCAACAACAACATCCTTTCTTGACATAAATCCAATCATGTCCTCTATCTCACCAATCTCTCTCTCCAAATCTTGGATCTTTCCTTGCCACTTCTTCCTCCCTCTCTCAAAGTCTTCAACTTTAACTCCTAATGAACTCATTTCTTCACTTGCTAAGTGGATCTGGTGAAGCAATCTCTTTTCTTCAGCTTGCCAAGTGTTTTTGTGACTTGCAAAAATCTCTATAACTCTTCCATTTACTTTTGAGTCCTCTTTTCTTTTTTACTTCATTTGTTTGAGCTATTCTTCTGCTTGAAAATGACGTATTAAGAGGTCTCTGATCTGGATTAGGAGGTTTGGTATTAAAGAAAGGGAGTTTGTAGGCAAGAAAGATGGAAAAAGAGAGAAATTTAGGTCTAAATAGGAAGACAGACGCTTGTCACTTGCTAAATCGTTCGGGCTGTGGTGGTCGGCTTTAGGGCTGTTGGACGGGGCTAGTGTGGTGGAGCTGCTGTTGTGCTCGTCGCTAACATTAACTGTTGCTGGTGGTGATGGCTGGTGTTGGCCGGAGAGAGAAGTGACAAAAGGGCTTGTTTTTGGGTGGTGATTTGTCGTATTCCAGCAAAAGAAAAGGCTGGTTCCTTCTTTTTGTTTCTCTCTCTCTCTCTCTCTCTCCGTTTTTAGTTAGTTTTTTGTTTTCATTTTTTACTGCTATGTGAGAATTATATGCTGCTGACAACAATTCAAACAGCAAAATTAAAGAATATTCAAATAGAAAAAACAAATTAGTACGATAGAACATTCATATTTTCCTCTAAAAAAATAAAAACTTTTTTCTTTTTAACAAATAATTCAGTATTTTATAATCAATTGGCTTCAATAAATGGATAAAGATATTAAATTTAGATAAGATTAACTCCATAGGTGTGAAATGACCAATTTGGGTCTGAATTTGTGGTGATCAATGCACTCATTTTCGTTATAATAATAATACTAATAATATAAAAATAACAGCTCCCATGCCCAATATCTCATTGATCCTTTTGAACGATGGACCTAAGATTTTATTTTTGTGAAGGGCCGATGGCATGATATTTTTTCTTTACAATATGGGCCTATCATTTTCTGAGGTCCAATGGGCCTCTCGTATTAAATCAAAATTTCAACTAATAAACCTAATACACAGTGATATAAAATTTAAAGGGGTGGCAATCCAGTAACTACTGTAATCAAAAGCATGGCTATTCCCTCCTTGTGGTAAGAAATCAATTTATTGAACATTTTTCATCTTTAGTAAATTTGTGTAATTTTATGAAATATTTTACTTGTTGCTATTTATATTAATTATAACAATAGATAACACATCTATCCTTATATAATACTTAAATTTCTTATCTATCTTTTAAATTTTTTAAAATATTTAATCTGTCTTTCCGATAAGATTTTTCGATTATAAAATTTTCTTAACAAAAATAACTTTTATTGAAATAAGGAAAAAAAAACATTTAAAATCACATAACTTATATATTCTATTTTTAATGTCTTTAGAGTTTTATTTATTTATTGTATTTTAGTAAAATATATTTTGATAAAAAAAAATTGTATGGTTGGAAAAATTAATCGAAAAAACAGATTGAATATTTCAAACATTTTTAAAAACAAATATGATACTAGAAATCTAGAGACATATAAAATTTGTTTAATATTATATACAAACAGATGGATATGTTTGTCCTGTAATAATTTTATACTATTCTATGGGAAGAAAAATGCGTAATATATAGAGTATGGAATTCACTTCAAAACTAGATCCGTCTTCAGCGATTAAGTTGGGCCATTGTTAGGAATATTCAAGTTGCTCTAGTCTAGCTTCTTGATGGTCTTGAACCAAGACTTCCCGCTAAAATGTTGAATCTGGTGAGGATTCTACATTTTTTTATTTCTTATTTACTAACATTGTGGAAATATATATATACATAACTTGATTGCTGGTCAACAACCAATAAACAATATCTATTTGCCTTGAAAAAAAGAGAAGAATTTCAAGTTTTTGAGCCGTGAGTATTTAAAAAATAAAAATAAAAAAAACATAGCCAGTCAACAACAATAAGAACAATCCATGTTTGATACTATTTTCAAAGACATAGATAAGATGGTGAACTAACAATAACAAAACTCTATATGATTGTCCTGTTTTCTCAACTAAATCAACCATTCAAGAAAGATCTCCTCTCTTCATCTCCATCTATATAAACCCTCAAGACTAGTCCCGGAATGTCACACAATTTCCTACAATTCTTTGTTTGCTTGCATCTTGCTCATAGTCTTGTGAAGACTTGAAACATTACCAGCATTAGCAACATGGCAAGTTTCAATTGTTTTATCTTGGCTCTCTTCATTGCATTGTCATTTTCGGGTGGTGAAGCTGCTCGTAATCTTCTGCAATTTCCTAATTTGCCTAAACCAACATTGCCACCAATGCCTTCTATACCAACTCTGCCACAGCCCAGCTTGCGTCCACTTCCTAGCCTGCCGACAATGCCAGCAGTGCCTGCTGTCCCCAAAGTCACCGTGCCTCCGATTCCTAGCCTGCCGACAATGCCTGCTGTCCCCAAGGTGACCTTGCCTCCACTTCCAAGCATGCCCTCAATCCCCACAATTCCTATCCCAACTACAATTCCCTCTATTCCATTCTTCTCCCCACCACCAGCTGCCAATAAGCCTTGAGTTTCTTCACTGTGTTCTTGGAGTGAGAGCTTATATGTACCATTAGTGTGGTTTTGATTGGTTATAGCAAGTACAAGAGTAGTTTCATGCTATAGGGTTGCACAATTCTTCCTCTCTTGTGCCCTTAGAGTTTATTGGGGTGTTTACATTTGTTCAATTCTGTTTGTTTTTGTTTACACTGTATCTGGCTGGCAATTTGTATTTATGATTGTACTTTGAGGTATAGGAACATTTTATTGTGTTTTTCTTTCAATTTTTCCATTTAGTTTGTGTTCAATAGCCTTTTATCTGTGTGTGCTTGATCATGTGATGAAATGGATTTGAATTTCCTACAGCCAAATATATCAGAGATTACTTTTTGTGAACTTTCATTTCATGAAATCTGAAAGTTTATCGCAGAAAGATTTGGATGTGGATAGTGTCTTGAATAGGAATTAATAACATTCTGAAGCATCAATAATGTGTATGATGTAATAATTATGAGTAACTAGTTTTGGCACAAGGAAAAGTACTAGTCTTTAAAACAAAATCTTACCGCAGTATAATGAAAAATACACAGCAGGTTCCATTATTAAGACTTTTCTAATTTCATCTTGACATGACTAACAAGTTTTTTGATTTTCCGATACCAATTCGCAAAGGAAAATGGTATCCTAACAGCAAACTTAAACAAAAAGATGTTTCATGCCATATAGCACTGCACATTTTGCTTTCTAATCATATCAGACTTCTGGTTTCTTCTATAAATGTCACAGTTTTTCCCTTTTTTTTTTTTTTACATGAAGAAACTAGTACAATAGCTGAGCAAGATAACTTCCATGCCTATCCACTCCTCACTTAACAAAACTATCAACAACTATATTACCATCTTAATTGATTCTAATAAAATTAACTAACTTCAGATTACGAATATAAGAATCGATGCTAATAAAAACATTATGTTCATAAAATGTCACAGTTTTACACTCTTATCTAAAATAAAACAATATCCAATAGCAGCCAGCTTAGCATCTAAAAACATTCTGGTAAAACTATATTACGATCTTAATTAATTCTATTAAAATTAATTGACTTCAGATTACGAATACAAGAATCGATGCTAATAAAAACATTATACTCATAAAATGTCGCAGTTTTATCTAAGATAAAAGAATATCCAATAGCAGCCAGCTTAGCATCCAAAAACATTGTGATAAAACTATCTACAAATTCTTCTTCTTAAGATCCCTTATCTCATCGAGGACCATTTTGAGTAACTCCTTTCACAACTCGTAGCGAATTGTTTATCAGTAAGTCCAACGAAGGTATTAAATTATTTGAGATGTTTCGCTTGCTTGCTAACCATCCCACCTACTCATCACAGGTAGGCACAAGGGGTAGAGTGTAAAAAAGCATGTTTCCAATAAATTTTCTCAGCAAATCTCATTGGTGATATGAATTGGAGAATGGTGTAACCAACAAAGATTGGTTCTACACATTGATGACACCGACTGTGTATACCATATATATTAGTCCTCAGGGATTCTGAAACCTCCAAAACTAGAAAGCTATTAATTCAAGCAAAGCACCGAAAAACACTGAAGAATTGCCACCAAGAATGCAGTACATTTGACAGCTTTTATTCTCGGATTCAAATCTAGAAAACTGTATAAATTGTGCCATTCCTCCTCTATCCATACCATTCAGAAGATAGTTGTCTCTTTTTTCTTTTCAGGTCCTTTAGTTTTGTTGATTCGCCATGGTGAGAAAGAGTAAGGGTCGTCAAAAGCTGCAGATGGTTAAGATACCTAGCGAAAGCCATCTAATGGTAACCTTCTCAAAACGTAGGTCAGGCATTTTTAGGAAGGCTTCTGAACTCTCCACTCTTTGTGGTGCTGAAGTTGCCATCGTAGTGTTCTCTCCTGGCAAAAAGGTCTTCTCTTTTGGCCACCCTTCTGTTGAAAATGTCACTGAACGTTTCCTCTCTGGGATCCATCCCCAAAATCCAAGCGCATTTCAACGTATTGAGGGTCATCGCAATGCTATGGTCTGTCAACTCAACATGCAGTTAACTCAGGTACTAATTGGCAACGATTTTGAAAATATGTATAGTTTTTATTTTCTGTTTATTTATTTATTTTGGGTTGCACATTTTAAAGAAATTTTAGTTGCATCAGTTTGATTTCATCAGAGCACCATAATATTTTTCTACTAATGAATGATTCACTAGGTCCTTGAGCAACTGGAAATAGAGAAGAAACGAGGCCAAGAGTTGGATAGGTTGAGGAAAGACAGTCAGATCCTGAACTGGTGGGAGAATCCTATTGGGGAACTTGACATGGCTCAACTTGAACAATTGAAGGCATCTTTAGAGGAACTCAAGCATGATGTGGCTAGGCAAGCCGAGCGGAATCTGATTCAAAATTCAAAACCTCCTCAGCCTTTAATGACACAAAACACCAGTTCTAATGGGATTCTTCCTTTCGATAACTGGAGATCTGGGTTCAACACAAACAATATGGCCATGGCTCCTCTCAACACAAACACAAACACAAACATGACCAGTCCTCCCCTTCCTTACAACTCAAACATGTCTGTGGCTCCTTATGGCTATAATCCTGGATATGGAAATGGGAATCTTGGATATGGAAATGGTATTCTTGGATATGGAAATGGGTTCTTCTAGTCAGCTAAATAATTCAGTTGTAAGAGAAAGGCTTAGCCACAATATTATATTTATGATTTGGGTTGGATTTTAAGTATTGTGTATGAGAGATACTAATGGATTACCATGCTGATTTCTGAAGGATTGTTGTGATCTCCACATCAGTGCATACATATTGGCTTCCATATTCCTATTAAACATATGTTTATGCATTTATACTTTATAAACAAAGGAAAATATCCATTTCATATGTTTCAAGGTTTCATGTAAAGAAATAAATGATTTCATGATTTTCAACAAATGATTGTACTTTGTTCCCACATTTGATTGCTGCATTACTCCTCTCTAGATCTTTCCAACACTGATAATATTTTAATTGTTAAAAATAATAATTGTTTGGTAGTAGAAAACTTGTTCATATATTTAATTTCATAATCTTAATATAATTATTTCAGTTGACCAATAACAGAACATTGATGATTATCTTAATAAAGTTAAGGTGACATGGTATGATCTCTGTTGGAAGTTTTTGGGATATGGATTGTAATATGAAGTTTGCACTACTTCATGTAACATGCCACACAAAGTTATAACCTATAACTCAAATTCGGTTCTGGAAGTAACCATAAAGTTTAGTTAATAACTTACAGTTGCTGCAGAAAGTTATAGCTATTACTGCAGAATTTATGTTGAATTCGGTTAGAAGAACTTCAGGTTTGTTCATTCATGCTAAGAGGCATGGGCAAGAGCATAGATATACATTTTGTGCTCATAAATACCATGCTCTTGCTCATGGTTAGAGACCTTCAGCACATTAAAGATTGAACAAACAATGTAGGTTAGAGATAAAGCCATTTAAGATTAATATCCTGCATGAAAAAATAAATAAATAAAGAACCCCCTTTGTCTATTTTTACACTCCTTGTAGACTGGTCTTAGCTGCCATTAAAGATTTTGTGTGTGATTACGCAATAGCAGAAACATTAGATTGGCTAAAACACTGAATTTAATGTTTATTTTTTTGTAAGAAAAGAACATTTTCAGGTCTTAGTTGTTCTCCGAACTAAAACTAGATTACCAAACAAATACTCAATAGTTTGATTGACCAAGAATACAAGTTTGAATCCTGCAAAAAAAACGTACTCCTAGTCACAACAACTATAACAACCAAAAAAAAAAGAAAAAGAAAAAGAAGTCATGGCCTTGTTTTCAGTGGAAGATGGATAAGAAGGTGACCTACCAATAACAAAACTCAAAATGATTGTCCTGCTTTCTAAACTAAACCAACCATATGTGGCAGATCATAAATAGATCTCTCCTACGTCTCCGTCTATATAAACATATTACGAGCCCCGGTTTGTCAAAAACAATCTCATACGGTTATTTGTTTGCTTATTTCTCTAGTTCATACAGTTCTTTTCAGGTCTTAAAACTTAGCATCAAGATGGCAAGTTTCAACTGTTTTATCTTAGCTCTCTTCATCGCTTTGTCACTTTCAGGCGGTGAGGCAGCTCGTCATCTTCTGCAGTTTCCCCCTTTACCTTCTGTGCCGAATTTGCCTAAACCAACATTGCCACCAATGCCCTCTATACCAACACTGACACAGCCCACCTTGCCAACCTTGCCCACCACACAGCCTCCACTTCCTAGCCTGCCAACAATGCCTGGTCTCCCCAAAGTCACCATGCCTCCACTTCCAAGCATGCCTTCAATTCCCACTATCCCTATCCCAACTACAATTCCCTCTATTCCATTCCTCTCCCCACCACCAGCTGGAAACTAGGCTTATTTTGAGTTTGATGATTAAGGTGTCATGTCAGAGATATCTTTTGAGTGCTTGGTCTTGTACTCCCTGTGGAGTAGTGTGAAGAATTCTGTTGCTTGTTTTCATTCATTTGAGCATTGTTGGCTCCTGTATTAATTTGTTTCCTGGTGTCATCTTATATATATATATAGATATGAACTTTCACATTTGATAAGTACGTTATATATACTTGAACTTTCACATTTGATCAGTACTTTCTTCTCTCTTTTCTTTTAAATTATTCCCGTGGATAAGAAAACAAAGTATCTTGTTAAACTCAAGGTCAAAATGATTATAAAAAAGCTTTAAAATCCCATTCAACGAAAATTATTTTAGAAAATAATCAACAAAAATCAGGAGATGAAATTCTACTACAAGATCCATGATAAAAGGTAATACTTTGAGCACTGGATGAATCTAATGATATTAGCAAATCCATCATAAGCAGTACCATCATATGGAAAGTCTTCCACAGGCACTTAGGCCGATCCTTCTCGGGTTCATGATTCATCTAGTGCAGCCTTAGGAAGACGAACTAATAACATCATTTCCAAAACAGGGAAATGCTCCATTTCAGAAGTGAAAAACTAAATGGTTTGATGATTTTCAATGACTGATTGTAGTTTGTTTCCACATTTGATTGCTACATTACTCCTTTCTCTCTTTAACACCTCTATTAAATAATGAATTATATTTATTTGGCAGTAGAAAACCTATTGATATATTTGATAATTTTAATACATCATTTCAGTAGATCAATAGCAGAAAATTGATAATTATCTTTATAACGTTAATTTGAGCATGATATGGTTGCTGTTGAAGTTTTTCGGATTGCGGATCATAAATTGTAATTTAAAGTTCGTATTATTTCTTGAAACATGCCTCAGAATTATAGGCCATAACTAAAATTCTGTTCTGAAATAACCAGAAAGTCATAGCTATCACCAGAATATTCTGCAGAATCTGAAGACCTGTATTTATGCAGAATTTTTGTGGAATCCGATTAGAAGAACTTCATGCTTCATTGAAAATAATGACACGAGAAAGAGACATGGATATACATTATGAGCTTATAAATACACCATTTCCGTACCAAAATTTTATGGTCATGAATGCAGAATAAAAAGAAATCCTACAGGCATTTTTGCAAAAGCACGTAGGCAAATCCTTTTCAGGTCAATGGGCCACCAAGGTTTGCATACATACATCAACAATTTTCTTTTTATGTTCACCAAATTTGGCATTTTGTCCCCACCTCAACATGATACAGATATCAGCATCAATAAGTTTCTTTCTCTTGTTGTGCTCAACTAGAGACCTCTTTTTTGGCCAAAGAACAAGAAGCCATCTGTTGCTTAATTCTTGTTTCAGAAAAAGATGTGGTCTTCTGCAGATCGACATGTCTCCAGTCATTCGATTTATTTTCTTGCTGTGGTTCTTAATTGATTTAAGCTGCAAAACTAAATCTTTTCTGCATAGGTTAGAGACCTCAATAAAAAAGAGAAACAACCCCCTTGTGCATTTCTGAAGTCCTCAACTTGGGCTTGCTAGGAATATTCAAGTTATTCCTGTAGACTGGCCGTAGCCAGTTTAGTTACTTATTCTTACCACATAGTTCTGCGGTAGCAGAAAGATTAGCTAAAACATCGAATCTAAAGTGGGCTTAGTTGTTCCTCTGAACTAAAAACTAGATTTCCAAACAAATACTCAATAGTTTGATTGGCCAACAATACAATTTTGAAGCCTGCATGAGTGAAAAATGAAAAGAAGAGAAGTCAAAACAACTATAACAACAAGAAAAAACAAAAGAAAAAGACATGATATTTTTTTCAATGAAAGATGGATAAGAAGGTGACCCACCTATAACAAAACTCAAATTGACTGTCTGCTCTACAAACTAAACCAACCATCTATGACCGATCACAAATAGGTCTCTCCTACATCTCCATCTATATAAACCCATTGCGAGTCCCGTTCATAACAAGCAATCTTTTACAGCTCTTTGTTTACTTATTTCTCTAGTTCATATAGTCTCTTTCAAGACTTAAAACTTAGCATCAAGATGGCAAGTTTCAACTGTTTTATCTTAGCTCTCTTCATCGCTTTGTCACTTTCAGGTGGCGAGGCAGCTCGTCATCTTCAGCAATTGCCCTCTTTACCTTCTGTGCCGAATTTGCCTAAACCAACATTGCCACCAATGCCTTCTATACCAACACTGCCACAGCCTACATTGCCAACTTTGCCAACCACACAGCCTCCCCTTCCTAGCCTGCCAACAATGCCTGGTCTACCCAAAGTCACCATGCCTCCACTTCCAAGCATGCCTTCAATTCCCACTATCCCTATCCCAACTACAATTCCCTCTCTTCCATTCCTTTCCCCACCACCAGCTGGAAACTAGGTTCATTTTGAGTTTGATTATTAAGTTGTCATGTCAGAAATATCCTCTGAATGATTGGTTCTTATACTGCTTTATGGAGTAGAGTGAGGAATTGTGTGCGTGTGGTTTTTTTTTTTTTTTTTTGTTAATCATCTGAGCATTGTTGATTCCTGTTTTCATTTGTCTCCTTGTATCTTATATATGAACTTTAACATTTACTTAGTACATCTCTTTCTTTTCTTAATTATTTCCATAATCATCAAAAGTCAAGGGATGAAATTCCACTTTAAGGTACATGAAAAACAGGAAATATATCAGAACTTGATGAATCTAATTAATGATATTGTCAGATGCAGCATAAGAAGTGAAAATATGATATGGACAGTCTTCTATAGGTACATAGTAACAAAGGCTGATCCTTTTCGGGTTTATGTCAGTTAATGATTCTTTAATTAGCTGTCTGGCATTAAGAGAATGGACTAATAACATTATTCCAAAACATAAAAATAAGAACGCATAAGACAGGGAAATTAAGAAGAATTCTATGTTGTCAACCTTATTTTTAAAGTTTCTCAATGCTTTATATAGCTGGAATTTATCACCATTATCAATACAGAATTTAGTATCATCGAGACAACAAGTTTCTCTCTTCTTTGTGGACAAGGCCAAATTCTACATGCATGCACCTTTGTAGCTAGGCATACTGGTAATGCTTTTAAATGATGGACCTATAATAATTAGCCAATTAATTCATTCCGGATATCCATGTCTTTGTTTCCTTACAAGAGGTCTCAGGATCCAACCTCTATATATTGTAATAAGAAATAAATAAATAGCAGGCATGATCTTTTAGAATATAGCCTATCATATTAAATAAAAACTTTCAACTAATAGGAATACTACGCAGTCACTACAAGAAAAACGCCATTTAGTGACAAAAAAATCCATTACTATTAAATGTAAATCCATCGCCAAAAGTGTTTAATGACGAATTTACAAAAAGAAAAAAAGCAATCACTAAAATACTTGTCGCTAACCCTAGTGATGAACGAACGAGTATAATTGAGTGTGAAAAAAATAAAAAATAAAAAAAAACAAGAGAGAGGGAGAGAGAGAGAGAGTAGATTCTCCTAAAAGCTAGCATTACTTTTAATCACTTAGATAATTGAGCAATTAACGAAAGTTTGAGAAAAATATTTGATTGATAATTTTAAAAAAATTAATATACTTAATTAAAAAAAATTAAAATTTATATATTTGATAACTTAACGTACTTATAATAAATTATCCCATCAAAGTTTAACCGCTCATTCTTCAACTCAATTTGTAATAAGAAAAGAAAAGAGTAATTTATATTCTAATCCCTATGATTTCAATAACATTCCAATGTAGTCGTTAGAATGACTAATGGTGGGACCAGCCAGCTTTTGAATTTTTTCAACGATAGTTTTTACGTCGCTAAATCTCTATATTCCATCGCTAATTGGTCACCAAAACCGTCTTCCCACCAAATAATGCATCGTTGTTCCATCACTAAATCCGTTGCTAATCAACGATCAATGTTTTTTCACTAATTTTCATCACTAAATGTAAAAAAATTCCAACACTAATCCGTCTCTAATCCATCTCTAAATTTATTGTTATTATTTTTTTGAAATTGATAAAATTTTTTCGTTAGTTTTTAAATTTGTGATTTTCTCATTAGTAACTAACAATTAATTAGAACAAAAATATATTATAAAAATTTTAATTTTTTATTAAAATTTAAATATGATAAATTAAATTTAAATTAATATTAACAAAAAAAATATTTGTTAGTATGTAAGGAAAAAAATATAACAAAAATGAAATGTCACTCCCGATCGTCATCCCGATCATCTAATTCCATATCTTCCTCTTGAGGCTCGATGGGAGGGACACCGGAGTCCTAGCTAGTGGGCCGATCTATAGACAACCGGGACATCCGCACTAGCGAGATACAATATCGAGGCAAACCACTTGTACTAAGATTGAAATCTAAAAATAATTAAATAATAGAAACAAAGTAATAGTTATAATTGATTGAATTTTTATAGAAGAGTGTGATGGATAAATGATACAATACATAAAAATACATTGATAGGTTTTTCCTAACAAAAAATGGTTCGAATTACTTACTCCACAAAAGCTTCAATTAATAAATTAGTAAGGAAATATTAAAATCACTCTAGAAAAATGCCTCTTAGTTGCTCACTTAAATGAAATCTTACTTTGTGAATTCAAAATTCTATTATCACACTAGAAGCAATTGTTACTATTTATAGTAAAATCTAATAATCTCTCCAAAAAACTTACCTAGAAAAATATCTCAAAGACAATTAGCCTTCACTAATATAAAACACACCTTATTCTTACATGAACCAATCCCGATAAAAAAATGGTTCGAATTAGTTACTCCACAAAAACTTCAATAAATAAATTAGTAAGGAAATGTTAAAATCACTTTAGAAAAACACCTCTCGGTCTCTCACTTAAATGAAATCTTAATTGTGAATTCAAAATTCTATTATCACACTAAAAAAAATTGTTACTATTTATAGCAAAATCTAATAATCTCTCCAATAAACCTATCTAGAAAAATATCTCAAAGACAATTAGCACACTCTCTACTATAAAACACACCCTATTCTTACATGAACCAATCCCGATAAAAAAAATAGTTCGAATTACCTACTCCACAAAAACTTCAATTAATAAATTAGTAAGGAAATGTTAAAATCACTCTAGAAAAACGCCTCTCGGTCTCTCATTTAAATGAAATCTTAATTGTGAAATCAAAATTCTATTACCACACTAGAAACAATTGTTACTATTTACATCAAAATCTAATAAGCTCTCCAAAAAAATTACTTAGAAAAATATCTCAAAGACAATTAGCCTGCACTAATATAAAACACACCCTATTCTTACATAAACCAATCCCGATGGTTCTAAAGAACATGTAAATAAGATTTGTAAGACGCAAAGGTCCATTTATGGACTTAAGCATACCTCTAGGAATGAGAATCAATGTTTTGGTAAACTAATCAAAGAGTTTAATATTTTCACAAAAATAAAGATAAACCATAGTTATATAAAAGGTTAGTAAGAGCCTACTAGTCATGATTATTCTACATAAAAAAATTAAAAAAACTACTTCTCATCTTTAAACATGATTATAATAGATTGAGATATAAATAAAAGGAATTTTTCTAATTATGACATAGGAGGGTAGCCTACATTCTAAGAGTTGAGATTTATATAGATATATCACTTAGAATGTGAGAGGTCTCCTAAGGCGAGATACATTGACATGATATTAAAAGGTTTAGTATGAAAAAAAAAGATTTATTCCAACATCATATAGCTTGATGGCCAACTACAAAAGATCTATAACGCGAGATAAGGAACGAAGGTCTCATCAACGATCCAAGCATGTATCGTGATGCTACCATCCGATTGCAAAGATTATCGATCCCAATGACATAAGGATAGAAAAGGTTCATACCGACAACAACATAGTTGATCCCTTGACTAAGCCTTTATCACGGCTAAAATATGAGTCCCTTGCTCGATCGTCGAGATTAAAGGACATGACTAGTTGGCTCTAGTGTAAGTGGGAGATTGTTAGTATAGGTGCCCCGAGATCCAACCATGTTTGGATGAGTTTGAGTTATTATATTATTTCATCATTTAGTTTATCAATAACAAAAAATTCTTTCTATAAATTCTTATGTCTTATATTTATTTATTAAATAGAATTAGATAAAAGTCCATATGATATGCATTTACATTAGTGATTGATTAAAAAATATGAGATAAACATTGATGCTTATAAATGATATCATTAAATGTCTCAATTCGTAGCATTGTCAAGAATGGATATTGACTATATGCGAGATAGACTTATAAGTATTATACTCATGCTGTATGATAGCAGTAGGAGATCTCACACCTATTGATATGATAATGCCAAAACAAGTACTTATGTGATTTATGTTAAAGAATATATCACTTAACTTAACTCTCCATGAGAACTCATTTGGCTTAGTCTATGGGAATCTCATACGAGATGAGTACAACTGGTCCTTAGATTTAAAGTCAACATAGTTATCTCATTGGAGGATTTATATACTTCGACACTTGTTTTGATGAACCCAATAAAGGATTGCACATGAGCGATTCATTGAGTGCACTAGGAATCTAATAAAGGTATGTGAATGAATAAAATAGGACATGTCATTCCTTGTATGCTAAAAGAGTTATCACATTGCACTTTGATGAATGTATGCTCAAGAAACCTATGGTCACGGTAAGAGTATACTAATAAAATATAGTTGGTTTACTCTAATAGTTAAGGCATTTGGGAATCAAAACAAACTTATGTGATCGTGATTGAATAAAACTAATAACTAAGTTCGAGATCACACTATGATAAACCGACATGAGGACTCGAATTGTATGATAATCATGCTTGTGAAAAGTAATTACGGATTAAATAATCCTTTTAGAAAATTAGGTAGTCATGATGCCTTGCTAAAAGCCAAAATCTTGATTTATGTTTCAATAGATAAAAGAATGTCTTTTATTCTTGATACATTGCTAATATATCTAAGAGCCTATTGAGTCACACACACAAGTTTAAGCATTCACATAATAAAAGAGAAGCAAGGATATTGGAAAAAGTTTTCAATTTGAAAGTTTCCTATTTTGAAAAAAAAATTGAAAATGAAAAGTTTCCTAAAATTAAAAGTTTTCTATTTTAGAAATCAATTTTCTAATTTGGAATTCAATTAAAAATTTGAAAATAAATAAACTAAAAAGAAATTAGTTTCCTAATTTAGGTTTAGGGGTATTTTAGAAAATTGCTTCCTAATGTGGGCCACCTAAAATTATCTTAATTTATTTAGATAGTCTAAATTAA